AACACTACCAAGTACGACCTACTGTTTAATTTCTCATTCATGCATGTTTCCTTATCAGTCAAAAGGTGTATAACGTTTAAGCAGTACTATGTTACGCAGATATATTTGCATACCACGGAATACACGATATAGCAAAATCTCTAGCGATAGACACTTTATTTCACGGTAACGATATATACCATCATACCGCCAAGCCCTAAGTCGTAGTGTGAATTTGTGAAATTTATATATATATTTTTTTTGATAGTTTATATATTTAGAAGTAGGCCTGGGCGATAAAACGGTATCGATATTAATCGACGGTACACCTTATTCGATAACGATAGAAAAAATGTTCGATATAGTGCAGGATATAGGCACGTGCTATGAGTGACGGAGACAGCACACACAAACACGAACACATGCTCAAATGAGTGCTGTGCCTGCCTGTGATAAGGAGATTGTAAATAAAGAATGAATATTAGTAGAATTTAAAATAAACATTTGCAATGTTAGGTGTGCGTCAGGGAGCGTCATGAGTGCCTGAGATGCGGTGATGATGATGTAAGTGACGTTGTTGCATATGATTAAAACCGAAACCAAGCCATTCACACAGAACACATATTCAGCGCATTTTTTAGACGGACAAATATGACTGCTGCACTCGCGTCTCACAGAAGAAATGTAGCCATGCAAAGTTAAAACAGTTTAAACTTTTAGAAAACAAGTCAGGAATTTGTGGAGGTTTATTCCTTTTCACTGCGTCTCATGTGTTTTTAAATGCAATCTGTGTGAATGGCCCTTCGGCTCTTTAGATTAAGCAATGCATAAATACATGATGCTGTTTTGTTCATAATTGTTTATGCAATTTAAGAAATTATATTTGATTTTTATGAGTTAATTTAGACGTAATGCACGTTTTTATATTCCTTTTCACTGCGTCTCATGTGTTTTTAAATGCAATCTGTGTGAATGGCCCTTCGGCTCTTTAGATTAAGCAATGCATAAATACATGATGCTGTTTTGTTCATAATTGTTTATGCAATTTACGAAATTATATTACATTTTTATGAGTTAATTTAGACATAATGCACGTTTTTTTATAGAGTTACTTCCTTGCGTTGACAATTTAAATGTGCTGCATTATTTTCTTCATTGCGCCCTCCTGTGGCCTCTGGAAACAAGCCAAAAGTTTCCTTAAGACCTATTTAATCTGCATATAAAACATTAGAAATTAGATATTTAATTTTTATATTTGGTTGTTAAAACAAAAAATATTTGTTGTTTGTCTCAATAAATTGGGTTACTTTAAAAATACAGTGGTTACATTTAAAAAAAAAATCTATTGCTCTTTGTTTTAAAAAAGGTTATAAAAAATGTCAATAATTATCGATACCGAACGATATGAAACATTATATCGTTGATCAATTTTTTAGGTATATCGCCCAGCCCTATTTAGAAGATACTCAACCAGATTGTTGTAAATGTCATCAGGCTGTTTTTGATGTTGTTTCTTATTCACTCTTCTGAGTACTTTGAGCTAATGAAGATACTTTGTGATTGTCATTAGTGTGGAGCATGACAAGCATCCAGCAGGTGTTTATGACTGATGTGTTGAGTGTGTGTGAAGCTGAACGGTTGCGTCTCCTCTCATCAGCTCCTCCTCTCAGCTGTCTTTCTCTTGCTCCTCCCTGCGTTAACATTCACTCTCTCCCTCTCTGTGGTTCTCTGCTCTCTCTGCGTCTCTCTGCTGGTCTCAGCCGCTCTGTCCCTCCCTTCCTTCTCATGGTGGTCAGTCGGCTCGGGCCTCGAGGCCTGGACGCTGCCGTGTGGGCTGCTTACACCACCGTCTTCATCCCTCTGAGTAGCAGCCTGTTCTCCAGCAGAGCCCTGCACTTCTACCTTTGGGTGAGTGAGATACAGACAGACAGACAGACAGATGGGAAGAGTGTCACGTTCTGATGGATTGTGAATGAAGATCATGTTTGTGATGGTATTTACCGTGCTTTTCATGCTTCCAATGGCTATTTACTCTGTGTTTGTTTCTTCCTGATGGTTCCCTCATCAGTTACATTGTCATGAACCGTGTCTGTTCTGTAAAACTTTCCAAATGTTTAATGTAGTATTTGGCTGAGGCGTAGAGTGTTAAATGAGATTCTCTGTATGTGATTGTAGCTCTTGTCCCTCATGTGGCATCTGTATGATTTCTCTTGTGAAAGCAGTTGTGTGTGAGTGTTGATGTGATTCTCTGTCTGCTCCCCGTCTCTCTATACACAGAGGATTTTCCCTTTCGACGGCCCACCACACAAACATATGACACAAAGCCTCTCCCCTCCCTTTATTTCTCTTTCACTGACCCGCTTTAAAAAGAGTTGAGACGGCAGTTCATCGGCCTGCAGAAGATCCGCTGGCTGCTTTATTGAGCTATATTCATTGAAAGGCTCTATATGAAATGTTTTCAAGTTTCTTAAAGTTTTTCTTTTCAAAAGTTTAAAGTCTCACCCTTTTAAATGTTCTACTTGTACAAAAGTAGATTTTATGTATTGAATTGAAATGTCTTAAAGCTGAAGTATGTAACAAAAAGACTAAAAGTGGCTATTTAAAGAAAATCTTCCCCCTGTGCTGTAGGTCACAATTACAGTCTCATATGTAATCTGTTTGTCATCATGGAAGCAAACATCATTAACTGTCATGTCTTGTTTTGAATATGCAGAAGTAGAAATGAGAATAGATTAAACTGAAATTGTGGTACCGCAAATGGATTATTAAAACTGTAGGCCTAGTTCACAGCACCTCTCATGCTGTTATGTTCAAGTGTAACCAGCATGATGTTAATCAAGAGTCAAGACTTCATGATGTTACTTGCTAATTGGGTATGTGCTAAAGATACAAAATTGCTGAGTTAAAATCGCCAGTTTTTTTTTTTTTTTGGTTTGTTTTGAGCATAAACCGTATGACAAAACTGTGCTAATAAGCTCTTAGAATAACAATAAATCAAATCAATCACAGCTGACTTTTTATTTTTCAAAGACAGATGCAGTTGAAACATACATTTCATTTGTGTATTTAACATTTTTAAATAGTCTAGAGTAGCATGGTTGAAGTGTGTTTGTGTCTACAGGAACATTGTCCTCTGCCTGTATTTTCTTATTTCATTCTTTTATCATTGTGCTCAGGTTGTTTCTGTGCTGCTGTCTTTGGCCACTAGGTCTGTCCTCTGTGTCTGAAGCAGTCACGTCACGTCTCAACACAAAAACAATTAGCTAATGTTGGTATTGCCTTATTGACAGCTATCTGTAACTCAACAGATTACTAGGCATTGTTATTATTACATATGTTTTAATGATGACATATAATTGTTATTTATTAGTGAGTTAGACTAAAGATGGCTCAAATCGCTGACAAATTACAGCCATTCCTCTTGTTATTAGTGTAACTGATCGTTCATTTACATAATAAATGTCTTAGTTATGCGTGATAAACACAGTATTTGGAAACATATTTATAAAAACACCTCATCGGTCATTATTCCTGCAGGTAGTCTGCTCTCGAGTCGCTGTGTGATGTGTTGTTGGGCTGTGTGTGTTCACCATCTTGATACCTATCTGAATCAAGCAAACAGCTGCGCTAATATTAGCTAGATAACTGTTGAGCCACTGAAATGACTTACCTAATGTCTTCAGTCCCTTCACATCTCAGAGTTGTCTGTGCTCAAAAGCCATGCTGATATTTACTTTCAGGATGGACTGTCACTTTCCCTTTCTGTTCGAAGCTTCTTGGTTTTGAGAGCAGGTTTCCCAAATGCTAAAGATGATCGCCGTTTAGTCATTTACTGATTAAAAGCAGCTATACAGATAAGCAAGTGTTGTAAGAACATGCTACAAATGCTCCACACACATGCTGTATATTATCCGAGTCTCCTTTATTCTGTCAAAAGACGAGTAATGTCAAACTGACACAAATTTCCACTAAATATGACCGCACAGCTCCCATTATAAATCATAATTATAAGCCAAACCATTGCAACCAAAAAAGTTACATACTACAGCTTTAACAATAGTTTCAATATAAGTAAATACAATAAATTGCTTGTATTTAAGGGTGCTACGATCAGGATTTTTGGAGCCAATCACCGATCGTCGATTACAGGAAGCAGTATCTGCCGATACGATCATTGATACCGATCTTTTTGAAGCCTTCTTTTTATCATGTAGAATTATTTGTAATGATGCTCCAATCAGGATTTTTACAGACATGCATTCAGGGCCTGAATTTAATTTTTGTTTTTACAATGGGGCAATTGTTGCACGATAGCTTACACTCAGCACAAGCCTGATTTTGTGAGCTGTATGTGAGGCGGCCTTGTGTGTGCACTTTGAGTGTGCATGAGCGCACCGTCTCTAGGAGAGCGAGCAAGTGCTGAATGGTTTAAACACTGGCAAAACTTAAGAAATGCAAATTATAAACTTGATTATGTGACACTGCCTCAATTGTGCAAGTGACAATTCCTGTGTCAACTGTGCAGCTCCCTTATAGTGCAGACGTGATGTGATTTGAAGCCATTTGCGCATTTTGAGAGGGAAATAGAGAGAGTGCGCGGTGATTCACTCACGCTATTTGTGAAATGACGTCATACAGAAAGTTTTCAAATTACGTTGCAAGTTATTTAATAAAGAAACATGAATTGTACCTCACCTTCAGTATTATAATTATTTTACCCATGCCGAAGTGAGATTGAGACGGTGCCGCTGCATGTCACGCCAAACCTCTCACGGCAGCCGAGTCGTCAGCTTCAGATCAGTTTATGAGATTGGCCTTTATAGAGACCGCTGTTCAAACTTCCCAAAGCGATTATCGGCTGATAGCGATCGGAAGCCGATCAATCAGAGCACCTCAAATTGTATTCTTCGCTTTGGATAATGTAAATGTAAAATGTGATATATAATAGCCTCCAATAACGTACACACATAGAACAGATTTTGATTTGAGCTTTACACCGTGTCTACACCGGACACGAGCAGTGCAGCGCGATGTGACAAAATACTATAGAACCCATTATAATCAGTGTTGCTGTCTACACTGTATGCGGCGCAGCGCAACACGACAAATCCCCGACAGTAAACTGCTGCCTCGTTCTATTTATTATGTACTGCCACAAAATTCAGATGATTTGCAACGGTCGCTTTGTCGTGTCCAGTGTAGACAAACTTTAGCTGTTGCAGCGCGACGTGACAACTTTCGCATCCGGTGTAGACAAAGTGTTAGTCTCTGTATTAGAAGGCTTGGCGTATCATGCGTCATATTTTTCACATGTATATTAACAGGCTGTGAGTGTGTGTGTTGTAATTGTGTGTGTTTTCTGTCAGCTTAAGCAGATGAAGGAGCTGGAGCAGGAGAAAGACTCTCTACTAGCTGGGCTGGATGTGTTGGAGCGAGCCAGAGAATGGTACCAGACCCAGATCCATAACATCACTGAAACGCAGAGACACATCGGCCAGAGCCACCACTCCACCGTACGTCCAGACAACTGAACACCATCCTCAGTAGTCCAGCCTCACACCATGATCATGAATCTATCAGAGATCAAGACATCTCATTCAAAACTAAAGTCCAGAAACAGTATATTTATGTGTTTTCCTCAGTGCATAACTGACATGTCACGAGTATATTTTTCCTCTGTAAATGTTAGAAAGTCATGCAAATAATCCATTTTGCTCGCTGCCTGGCCTATTTGGTAAACTTGTTTTATGAAACAGGCCTCGAGGCGACACATAAGTTAATTTATGATTTGCTGTCTGTCAGAACCAAAGAAATAAATGCGATCATACTTTTTCCATTGCATCGTATTGCATCGAATCGCATTGTGTTGAATTGGATCGAATCGAAATCGTATATAGGGGTGAATCGTATATAGGGGTATAACCGTTTTTACAGCTCTGTGACACAACCCGTCAAAAGGCTTATATAATCACCGCAGAATAAGTCTTAAAAAGTTATCAGAGGTGCAACAGCACGTTCATGTATGTTTTCGATACAGAGTGCAAATGGCTGTGCATTTATTTGTGTTTTTAACTCGATGGGAGTGAAATGAAACTGTCTGAATCCGAAGCTGTGTGTGTTGTCTGTCTCCCCTCCACTCCGCAGGGCACCACGCCCACTTTTTTTTTTTTTGGAATTT